AATAAGGAGAAGAACGATATGACCCAGCGAAAATTTTTCGGAGAATAGGGGGGGTTGTAAAAAAAAGAACCCGCCAGTGAGAGTGACCTCAAGGCAGAACGACTCGGACAGGATACTGCAGGAGAAAGCACGATTAAGGACATGAACGGCATAACAGGAGGGTAGTATCTCGAACTCGCGACAGAACACAAGAAGAAAGGAAGAAACTAGAGGAATGGTAACAAAGGTCGAAAGGAGGAAAGAGAGGGATGGAGAAGACAGACAGAGATCACCAGACCCAGGAAGAAGATCTAATACAGCCTCCCTCACAACTTTCATATAGAAGCCTCCCAACCAGGTCAACCCTATTGCAACCAAACACTCTAAATCAAAAACACCCATGCAACACATCCAATGATGCCCCCACCCACTACATTACAAACTTTCAACCCCCACAGCAACAACCCATAGTCCTTAACCAGGTCTCCCACATCCCCAACCCCAATATACTCCCAGACCACAGTCTTAGAAAAGAAGTTTGAAGGTGTGTTAATAACCAAATGCAGATGGAATAACAAACAAGTATAGGGTGGTCACGAAAGAATCAAAGAGACCATCCCCAGACATAATAGCACTCACAGAAACAAAAAACTCACCAGAATAATAACAGATCAATCTTCCCATCCGGATATCAAATCTTCAGGAAAGACAGCGGGAGGAAGAGGGGGAGGAGAGTTTTGCAACTGCTCATTACAAACCCATGGGGTTTTGAGAAAATGGGAAGGAATGGATGGCATTGGCCGAAAGGGACACTTTAGTAGGAACAATCGCAGTCTGAGGGACATAAGGTGATAATTGCAGTAACGTACAACCCACCACAGAACTGAAGGAAGGCCAGAGAAGAATACGATGAGAGCAACAGAAAGCAATGATCAAACATAAGCCGAGGTGCCAGAGAGCACACAATGGGGGAGCAAAGTTACTAGTTATGGGTGATTTCAAATCACAAGGAGATTGACTGGAAAACCTGGAGCCCCATGGGGGTCCCGAACCATGGAGAGCCAAAAAGATGGATGTGGTACTGGAGAACCTCATTGCATCAACATGGTTAGAGAACCTACCAGAAGAGAGAGGAGAGTGATGAACCAGCAAGGTTGGACCTTGTATTCACCATGAGTAGTTCGGACATCGAGGGTATCATGTAAGAAAGGCCCCTGGGAGCTAGTGATCATGTGGTTCGTGCTTCCGACCTACATAGTTAGCTCCAGTGGAGAGAGTAAGCAGGAATAGGCTGGGAAACACCAAACTACAAAAGGGGTAGACACTCAGGCATGAGGAACTTCCTCAAGACAATTCAGTGGGAAAAAGGGAACTGACAGGAAAACCAGTACAAGAAATTATGGACTATTAGGCAACAAATGGGCAAGGAGGCAGAGGAAGGTTTTTCCCAAGGGAAACAGAAATAATGGAAAACAAACGAGTCCTTGGGTTCACCCAAAGGTGTAGGAGGCAAAAAAGGTGTAATAAGAGAATGGAAAAGGGGGGAAAGGTACAGAAGACAAGAACCAGGAAATAAAGAATCAGATTCAGCCGAAGAGCCAGAAACGAATATGCACAGAAAAGAAGGGAGCTCAGAGACAATATGAAAATGACATAGCATCAAAAGTAAAGACTGACCCAAGCTGTTGTTACAGCACTTCAGAGAAAACAACAGTCCAAGGACCAGGTAATGCAGACTGAGGAAGGGTGAAGGGGAATTCACAAGAAACGACGAGAGGTAATGTCAGGAGCTCACACAAGATTTAAAAGAGGTATTTACAGTGGAAACCATTAGGACTTTCCAAGAAATCAGAACAGTGGGGCACACCAGCAAGTGCTGGATGAGTACATATAACAAAGAGGAGGTGAAGAAGCTGCTTATGTCGAACTGACACCCCAAAGGCGGTGGGACCAGACAAACATCCTCCCATGGTCCCTTAAACGAGAGGGAGCAAGATATGTGTGAGCCATTAACACAGATCTTCAACACATCATTTGAAACTGGCAACTCCCTTAGGATGGAAAATGGGCAAATGTAGTCCTCAATTTTTAAAAAGGGAGACAGACATGAGGCACTAAACTACAACCTGTATCTCTAAACGTGTATAGTATGCAAGGTCATGGAGAAGAATCATCAGAGGAGAAGTGGTTGGGCACCTGGAAAGAAAACAAGTGTATAATTGACAACCAGCAAACGGTTTCAGGTAAGAAAAATCCTGGTCACAAACCTACTAGAGTTTTATGAACAAGGTGACAGAAGTAAGACAAGAGAGAGAGGGGTGATCGACTGCGTATTTTTGACTGTCAAGAGGGCTTTCGACACAGTTCCTCACAAGAGGGTTACTGCAAAAGCTAGAGGACCAGGCACACATAACAGGAAAGGCACTGCAATGGATCAGAGAATATCTGACAGGGAGGAAACAACGAGTCATGGTAACGCGACGAGGTGTCAGAGTGGGCGCCTGTGACAAGCGTGGTTCCACAGGGGTCAGTCCTAGAACCTGTGCAGTTCTTGGTATAACATGAACGACATAACGGAAGGGA